CAAGTCGCTCTGCCGCCCAGGCTGGAGTGCAATGGTGCCATCTTGGCTCACTGCAACCTCCGCCTCCCAGGTTCAAGCTGTTTTCCTGCCTCAGCCTCCTAAGTAGCTGGGACTACAGGCGCATGCCACCACACCCAGCCAATTTTTTGTATTTTTAGTAGAGACGGGGTTTCAGCGTGTTAGCCAGGATGGTCTCGATCTCCTGACCTCATGATCCGCCCGCCTCAGCCTCCCAAAGTGCTGGGATTACAGACGTGAGCCACTGCACCGGCCGAGGTAGGTTAATTTTTATTATGCTCATTTTGCTGATGGGGAATTTCCCCCCCGAGGTCACAGAGCTAGGAGGTGGTGCAGTGTATCTGCGGAACCCACATTCTTAGCACAGAACAACACTGCAATGGAGCTGGGCAGTAGTAGACAAGTGGGACAAAAATACGGCGGCTTCTTGACTATCGGCCATGTCACCTGAAACACACACTGAGCCCTCACATCCATCATCTGTGGAAGTTGTATGTGTTAACGACTCCCATGTTAAAATCACATAAACATAGACATAGGTGCTCATACTCTATCCCTCATGTGGTGGATGGAGAGGAGCCAACACAGAACCGGGCTTAAAGCTAGGCTCTGCCCGCTGACCCTGGACGCCTTTCTTCTCCTGTCAGTCGCGCTGGCAGCTCTTTCTCGCATGCTGCCCTGAGGACCACAGAAGACTGGTGCCACAGTGCCCAGCTAACGCCAGAGCAAGCGCTTGTAAAACACCGGTACCTTTCCCTCCTCTCTCCTTCCTTACTGAGAAGGAGGGCAGCGACTTGAATGCCCTAGGCCGCCCTCTGGGCCCTCTCCTGTCTGGGTTGCAGCTCACTTTTCGGGTCTTGGCAGTAACACTGGCGTCAGGACTGTCACCGGATGGCCTGTTTTTCAGTAGGCTACCCCCATACAACCGAGTGGACACGAGTTTTCAAAAATATTTATTTGCTTATCTGCAAGGCAGGAGGGGAGGGAACAAAGTGATCGAGGACAAAATCAATTACTATTTTTCATCTTTGACAAAGTAATTAAGGCCGTAGTGACTGGCTAATTCAGACCGAATGGCTGCGCGGTGATGGATGCGGATTTACGGCCTCCTTGGCTGCGGCGCACTGGGCCAGATTATCACTACAAACAGGCGTCCGCGGAGGGCGGGGGCGGAGGCCCGCGTCTAGAGGACGTGCGGCTGGTCTTTTTTTTTTTTTTTTTTTTTTTTTAAATACTGCAGTTCCATTCTCTGCGCTTCGTAGGCGCTGACACACACCCGTACGCACGACCTGCTTGCCCCAGGGCCTGGTTTCCTGCCTCAGCACGCTCTCTCCCGCCCCTGAACCCCAACCTTCAAGCCGGGCTTGTGCCCGCCCCTCCGCCCCCGCGTTGGCCTCATAGCGACACCTCCAGGCCTCTCCGCTCCAGACCCTCCCTCCGTTCTCCACGCAGCCCCTCCCTTCTAGAATTTTGCGGCTGAAAGTGGGGGGAGGCCTAGAGCCCTAATAGCACCTCTGCCAAACCCCGTAGCAGTTCCTGCGCGTCACCCGCCTCTGCAGAGCCTGACGCGCGGCAGGCCCCACGCAGGAACCCAAGTGTTCACTGGCCCGGGGAGGGCCAGCGGGCGAAACGTCAGGCCTAGGGGCCAAAGGGCGGCGCTGGGCGTCACTCAGGCCCAGGGCCGCAGCTGGGGGAAGTGAGAAGGCCGGCAGGATTCCGCCGCCTCTGCGCAGTTCTCCCCTTCCTCCCGGGGCAGCCAAGTCTGTGCGCCTTGGAACGTCCGGGCGCCGCGTGGACGCTCCATTCTCACCTGGCCCTTTGCGGGGACTGCTCAAATGCAAATTGGGAAACTGGCCAGAACCTTCCAAAGTCGTGACTGTCCCTCGGGGAAGTCGGCCGGGGAACTGCAGAGGGAGGCCTACACCGATCTTTGGGCCGCCTCTTGGTACCGCTCCGGCGGATCGCTCTCTGAGCCCGAGCCTGCCTGCCAGGCCTGCCTTCTACAATTCTCGCATTCATTCGTCTTGAGCCCTCTCGGAAACTGGGGACTGTTTAGGCAGAAACACCCTTAGGTTCTCTTGGCCTCCCCCAAGATGCCAAGAGCCTGCGGGCTGCTTCTCCGCGCCAGCTGGAACTTGAGCAGGCACCCCTGCGGAATTCTCAGTCCCACCCACTCAGAAGACCCTCCTCCAGCCAGAGTCCACCACAGCCCACCCCACCTCACCCTCTTAACCCTAATTCCCGACCTCGCCCTACGAGCTGGCCCCGGGGAGAGCGCGACTGACCCCAGAGACAGCCCCGCGGGAGGTGGTTGGGATCTTCTCCAGAATTCAAAAACGACTTTCTGAGCCCCAATTTCCTCAGCTTTGCAATTGTATAGTTTCTGAAAGGCCATTGCCAAATCTAACCGGGATAATTCATGGATAGCCCTTGCACAATGGTTGAGTATTGAGATCTCAATAGACGTTAGCTCAAAACTACAATAAAAAGCGACCTGAAATCCTCAAGGCGTCTCAAAAGAAAGATCTACTCCTGCCCCCACCAAAAGCAATGCAGACCGTGTGTCCCCAGCCAGTTGCCCTTTAGAGGGGCTAGGCGGGAGAGCCAACCAGCGGAGGCATCCAAACACTCTCGGGCTCTCCAGAGGGACAGGAGGGCGCCCCTCAGTGCCCCCGGCGCCCGCCGCAATCTGCCACTGCAGCCTACGCCTGCGGCCGCCGCCGCCCCCGTATTGTCCTCCTGCCGCGCGGGGACGGCCCAGCCGCTTGCGACGGCGTGCACCCTGAGGCAGTGGGCTGGGCTGTTGGCAGTAGGGAAAGGAAAACGTGCTGTCTGTGGCTCCTCATCCCCGAGGCCAGGGGTTCCCCAAGCTAGACCGGCAAGTAAGGAGAGGAGGGAAGCATTTTGCTGATAATCCCCTTCTAGTCTCCAAACTACACTTTCTTTGTAAAGGCGTTTTCTCCTCTCCTGATTATAGCTACTGCATTGTACCAACAAGAAAGTCCATCTTTTTATCGCCACTGCCACCCCCAATCCCATCCCCGCCACAGTATTGTTGAACTTCCTGGTACGGCTCCCCCCCCCCCCCCCCCCCCCCCCGCCCATTGCTGGGCATCTCGATTTGGACGGTCTCTAAGGTCTCGCGCTGCCAAATCAGGCCTGGCTCTGGTAGGATTTTATTGAAAGGACTACAAAGAAAGAATGGGTTTCCCTTGACTTTGAGAGTGACCTAAGAACTAGGTCTGTGTTGGAAAATCTTCATTTTCATTTCTCTAAAACGTCTTCAAAAGAGCTTAAAAATGCAATGAGAACGGTCAGTTATACTCAGAATTTTCTCCTGATTGTGTTAACAGAAATAGGAACGGAAATACTAGATCCCAATTTTTAAGCAAAAAACCCAGGATTCGTCCAAGACTGACTGTCCAGAAGGGTAGGGATGTGAGAATCTAAAGTCCACATACATGCTAGGTAGGAACACCTTGATAAATGCAGGACCCATGCCTGTTTCAGCCATCACAGAGCTGTGGGGCTATGCGCAGACCCTCAGCCTCTTTCGGAGTAATATTTTCGGCATCCCTGAAGATTGGGGGAGACAGCAATGGAATATAGTGAAAGGGAAAGAGAAGACAGTGGTTTAGCTCCCTCCCCCTACCTCTACATCCCGATCCACTCTGCTGGCGACTGCGCCTTGCCTTGGGTGCAGTGGGACGTGTCCCTCCCATGTTTCCCTTAATTAGGAGGAGGCAAACTTCTGTCTTCCCCTCCTGCCGGTTTCGGTTTAGTAATCAGACCCACATGAGTCACGCCAAACACGCAGCCCCTCCCGCTGGAGCGACAACTGGCCAGCATACTCTAGGCTGTTGTCCCTTTAAAACTTCAATCCAAGGGGGTAATGATTTATCAAACTTGTATTATCAAGAAAATGTCAAACCAAGGGCACCTTGCTTTGCACTGACGCAAACCCGGCCTTTCCCAAGGAGATATAGAAAGCGCCTCTCCTGCCAGAGCCAAACCCAGTCTTGTCAATAGCGGGTTTCACCCTCCACCAGTTCAATCTGTTGCCTGTGTCAGATATGGTGAGTGTTTTGCTTTTGTTCTTTCAAGAGGAAAAGGGGCTGAGGGGATAGGAAAAGCAGATTCGTTTTGGCTATTTCTTTTGGAGATGTCTGTGCATTGCGGGGAGGGGGGGGACGGGGGCGACGAGGAGAACAGTTCTTACAGCCCTAGGTATTTGTACTTGTGAGCGTCACCTGAGGTCGCAAAGAGGTTTCCTAGGTTGTAGAGCTGAGAGGTTGACTGTGGCTCCTAAAGACCCGATCCCGGGCACTGTCCTCGGTGCTGAAAAGCCAGATGCCGGTACAGAGGCGAGTTGCTCTGGGTCCTAGAGGCTCTTGAGACAAATGCTGGCTGAAGCTGAGGTATTCAGATTTGTGGAAATTGAGGAGTTCTATCTTGCGTGCTTGTGAAAGGGGGTTAGACGAGAAGAGTGCAGTGGAGGTGAAGATAATAGGATTATTACAGTGTAATAATAATTATTGGTGCTAATGTTTAGGAAGCCCTGAAAGATGATAACACGAGGGGAGAAAGTGGCTAGGAAAACCACCGCTGGCAGTTATTTTCATTTGAAAGTGAATTGGGAAAAAGAGAATAAAAATTAGTCATGAGTTTTGGTACTCAAGCCAGCGTAGGGTTGTGAAAGATATTGGACTCCCGTAAATAGTTACGCAAAAACAAACAAAAAAACAAAAAAACTTTGCATATTCTTTTATATGTCTGGGAATCTGGAAGTGAATACAAGTTGTGTAAGATAACAAACCTAGTTACTACTCTGTGTCTTAAATTTATTATCGTTGTAGGATTTTTTGTGGTTATTTTGATCGTGATTCTTAACCTTTCTTTGCTACCTGGCGGGAGGAGGTGGGTTGTGGAGCGCTGGGACTCAACCAATTTGGCCTCAAGCGCTCGCAGGTGCCAGGGCATCAGCTTTGTGGCCACAGCTTGTCTATGGGGGAAAAAGGCAATGTGCATTGTTGAATGACAAAGGAAATGGGGCGGAAAATTAAAGAATCTTTCTACAATGGTGATGGGGATGCGGGCACCCACAGCTGTGATGTGAAATCCAAAGAGGGAGGAGAGCTCATGACTCTAGGGCTATTTCCACTCCCCCTTTCCCCTTACAAAATTCCATTTCTGCCTCTTTTCTTAGTTCATCCTCCACTAGGGAGGAAATATTAGCTTCTTTGTCATCTGGTTATTGATGAAGCGGGCAAATTGAGAAATACTGATTGCAGTCTTTCTTAACAGAAAAAATTCAGATTCCAATTTGCTTCCCCAGATATTGTGTCTGGACCTGAGTTGTGAACGTCTCCATATGTAGATACAGGTATTTTTAATGCTGTTGTGACTTTGTTTTGCACGAACTTGACATTGTGTTTGCAGGATTGCAGTGCTCCCAAGGAAATGAATAAACAGCCAGCCAACAGCCCGGAGGCGGCGGCGGCGCAGGGCCATCCGGATGGCCCATGTGCTCCCAGGACGAGCCCGGAGCAGGAGCTTCCCGCGGCTGCTGCCCCGCCGCCGCCACGTGTGCCCAGGTCCGCTTCCACCGGCGCCCAAACTTTCCAGTCAGCGGACGCGCGAGCCTGCGAGGCTGAGCAGCCAGGAGTGGGGTCTTGCAAACTCAGTAGCCCGCGGGCGCAGGCGGCCTCAGCAGCTCTGCGGGACTTGAGAGAGGCGCAAGGCGCGCAGGCCGTCCCCCTTCCTGGGAGCTCCGGGCCCAGCAACGCGCTGCACTGTAAGATCCATGCTCTGCGAGGCCCGGAGGGGGATGCGAACGTGAGTGTGGGCAAGGGCACCCTGGAGCGGAACAATACCCCTGCCGTGGGCTGGGTGAACATGAGCCAGAGCACCGTGGTGCTGGGCACGGATGGAATCACGTCCGTGCTCCCGGGCAGCGTGGCCACCGTTGCCACCCAGGTAAGCGGTTGCATTCGGCCCGCACAGTGTCCTGCTCTCCAGCTGCGCGAGAGAGGCCAGCCGGGCCGTGGCGGGTGCACGTGTGCTGATGGGGAAACCGGTTGGCAGTGCCAGGTGATGGATGCGGGAGGCGGCTTTGGGGCTTCGGAAGCTCGCACTGCGCTGGGGTCGGCAGTTCAGGGCGCGAGGGCTGCAGTGACCCTGCCAGAGGGGCCACGACCTGCCCCTTCCCAGCCTTGGCTGTAGTGGGAATCCAGGTCCGGATTCACAAAGCAGTTGAGGCAGATAGATCCCACCCTTTTATGCAGACAGACTCCCTCTCCTGCCAATGACTATCTTTTCTTTTCAAAAGTAATTTCTTAATTAAACAAAAAGAGGGAGAAAATTCAGAACAAAGCCAGGTGGTCGTGGCTGGGGGTCGAGGGGTAGGAGGATAATAGTTTAAGTTTTGTAGCCTTTACACTGCCAGTAACGCTTATTACATGAGAACTCATTTGATGCGAGGTGGGTTTACCTGAGGCTACTGAAGCTTAAGCTTTGGGGCCTGTCCTTTGCCTGGGTCCTTCCAAAACCTGGTGTCTACTTTTGCCAAAGTTTTCTATTTTTTTCCCTAAAGTAACCTCCCTCAATTGTATAAGCTTCAGGCTCCACTAATCTGAATCCCCTCTTGCATTTGATCCTTTACCACTTAATTAGAGGCGTGAAAAACCCACAGAGCAAATCCCAATCCTTGGGTTATGAATAAAGGCAACTTTTGCTGGTGGCCCGCTCTCTCATACAGGCTTTTGTTCTCTTCCATTTCCCTCTGTCTCTCTCCTTCCTTCTCTGATCTCTTCTTTCTTCTGTCCTTTTTCATCCACTTCAGCTCTTCCCTTCTCACTGCCTGCCTTTCTGCTATCTCCTCTCCTTTCCTGGCCTCAGGGACTAGGCATATATCCAGCAGTGGGGCCTGGACCAAAATTTATGCCTGTGTGAGGTTTAGGATTTATACAACCCTTCTATCTTTAGTTACTCTAGTGTTTGCGCGCGCACACACACACACACTCACACTTATCCACAGGCCCACATAGCAGGAGCTTGTGGTGTCAGAACTAGAAATAAACATAGAATTTCCCACTTGCCTTTCCTTTTGGGTCCACATCTGGAGGGTTTTTCTATGTGTATTATCTGCCTCTGACAGCATGTATCCCACAGTGTGACCCCAGGTGGAGCAGCGTATTTGTTTCACTTGTCTTGCTTAACCTCCGCACTGCGGCAGAAGGAGCTGGAACTCCCACCCTTTGCAGCTCTGGAAGGATTGAAGGGTGGGATTAGGAGTGGAGGTGGTCTGTGTGTGGGAGGATGAGAGGGAGGATGTTAAAGATGTTTGGTTTCTGAAAGTACTTATTTTCAGCCCTGCCCATCTTTCTGATTGTGCCTTTCTGACACTCACCCTGGCTCTTTCTCCCTCCCCAAGACTTCTCCTGACAGCTGCTGCTGTCCTCCACAGCCTGTAGAAAAGTATGAGACCTAGCAAGTTACTACAATAGGAGGTGAAGGGTGACTGAGGAGGTGGAAACTGTGTGGTGGCCTGAGTCCCTGGAAAGCTTTGTGCAGTGTCTAGGTGTCCCGAACCTTTTCAGAGTTTATTTGGGGTGGTCTCCCCCCATTTTTCCTGAGTAGTAGTGAGGCATTCCACGACCAGGCACTGCCCCAAGAAAGCATCTTAGTGTGAGCTTGAGGAAATGAGCCTCAAAGATTCATAGACTGCTGGAGCTGGCAAGGGCTTCAGGGGACAGTTATTCTAAGCTTCTTTTACAGATGAGACATGGAGGTTCAGAGAGAGCAAGTGGCTTGCCTGGGGTTGTCCAGCTGGTTAGTAGTAAAATTTAGACCAGAACTCAAGGTTGTAGATGGCTTGTGTCTTCCCATATCAATCTTTTTTTGTTTGTTTGTCTTCCCTCTTGTTTCATCTTCAAATCTGCCTCCTGCCCATCTCCCTTGCATTAGTCTTGAAGGATGCCTTCTTAAATTAGTTGACCAGGCAGGTTCTGTTTGGTCAAGAAAGTAAGGCAGGGGCTCCGGCTGGCTTCGGCATTGCAGCTCTCTTTCTGGTCTTGTCACACACTCTAAAGGAAGAAAGGGCTGAGGAGGGGGTGTGGTGAAGGCTTTTTTGTGGGAAAGGATTAATTAGGAACCTGCTTGCTGGGAACTCCAGGCATGATGCTTGCCAAATAAATTCTTGGTGAAGGGTTGGGGATGGAGGGACCTGCTTGCAATCACCTTACAGGTTCAAGGTTTGGGGAGAGCTGCTTGCTAGTGTGCCCTGACTGTATGATCTGGGAAAGAGGGGGTTTTGGGTCTGTTTAAGATGGATCTTCAGATCAGAATTGGGGACCTGCTTGCTGATTGACTCTCAGTGCAGGGTTGAGGGGTGAGGTCCCTGCTTGTAGATGCATCCTTTCTTTACATTTGGGGTCCTGCTTGCCGATGCATCCTCAGTTGAAAAGTGGGAGCCTGCTTGCTGGGAAGGACCCCTAGCCGGGGGGAGGGGTGGAAGGGGCGGAAGGGGCCTGCTTGTGGACCTACTCGGGGCTGTTATCGACAATGTGCTTTTCCGCCCCCAGGAGGACGAGCAAGGGGATGAGAATAAGGCCCGAGGGAACTGGTCCAGCAAACTGGACTTCATCCTGTCCATGGTGGGGTACGCAGTGGGGCTGGGCAATGTCTGGAGGTTTCCCTACCTGGCCTTCCAGAACGGGGGAGGTATGGCTTTTCCGCTCTTTCCGCCTGCTGCGGGGCGGGGCGGGCACCTGAGGGTTGGGTGGGACAGGAGCCCTCAGGCAGGGTCGCAGGGCGGGGAGGCTCAGAGCAGCCTCCGCAGGCTCCAGCCCTACACCTCGTAGGCGTGAGTGCATAACCAGAGGGCGGGGACTACCATAATCGTTCGGCCTTAGATCCCGGAGTCTCTTATCTAGAGAGGGGCGCAGGGGAGGAGTGAGGCCCCACAAACCCCCACTGACCCAGTTTTGGGGCCTGGGTCCGGAGCCACGTAAGCACGGGTGCTAGCGGTCAAGTGTTCAGAGAGCGGCGGCACTTCGGGCACCCAACAAGGTTACAGCCAGCAGCTGTACAGTTCTGGAGCCCTGATTCAGGGTTATATCCTGCCTTCCTAGGGGACTCCTTAGGCGAGCTAGGAGGTGAGGGGGAAGGGGTGGGGGATGTGCTGTCAAAAACCTCTCAGAAGTGCCCGCCACCTCCGCCTTCTTGTTCTGCTTCTTGAAGCAGAACATATTTTGATTTTAGTAAAATCGTACAGCGAAAACAGGTTTCTTTCATCTGCCCTAAATGGGAGGAAGGTGCTGGTTTTGAAGGAAAGCCGTTTCAGAGATGGGGAGGACACTAGTTAGGCTTGCATCGGCTGCTGGGCCACTGTGCTCCCTTGTACCTCTTCTGTACACACCGAGGAGGGACCTGGCACATTCACGATCCCTCCGGCCCTCCCGGCGTTTAGGTGCCGCGGGGCCGGCTGCTCTCTAGCAATAGGAATTTGAACCTAGAGCCCCCTCCCACTTCTTCTCAACTGGACGGAAGGGACAAACAATGCATTCCTTCAGACCATAGGTCAGGCAGTTCGAGGGTTTTTGTTCTTTTGTTTTGCCTCTTGGGTCCGCTTCAGGCGGAATTTGGTGCAGTGGAACGGACAGGTGCTGCATCTGTCCGTTTTTGGTGCATCACCGGACGGCTAAAGCGCAAAACATAGGCCACTACTCCCTTCCTCTCCAGTTCCAAATTAGGACACTCTGACAAGTACTTATGAGAACCGCAGAGCATTTGCCATCTGGGGTGCCCTGAAAACAGACCAGGTACCGGCCACACGAATAGAGGCACCCAGATAGGTTCCCGTTTGATTTTCCACAGGGCGCCCTCAGGCCAGGATGCTACAACAAGGCTTCCAGTGAATAGAAGGGAAGTGGGTACTCAGGGTAGAGGAGGGAGATCCAGCAAAAGGAGGTTGGCCCGCGCAAGTGCCCGCGCTCTGCTCGCCCGGGATCTGCGAAGAGCGGCGGAGCAGATCTCAGCGCTCCCGAGGAGCCAGGCGCTGCGATGGGAGGCAGCCTGTTCCGCACTGCGGCTCGGGGCCCCGCAGCCCTCAGCGTGGGGTGGAGGGCTCGCCGCTCCTTTTCAGGAGCAGAGGAGGACTGCACAATCCCCGTCTTGAGAGGATAAAGCAGGACCCCGGTTTTACTGCCCAGCAGCCCGTGGCTGCTCCTGGGCCTTCCTGGCTTGGAAAGCCCCGGGCAGGAAAGGCCCTGCCATCAAACAGGAAGTGCGGAGGGGCGGGAGCATGAAGAGTAGACTAGAGAAAGATCAGTTTTCCCTCCGCTAAGGCCACTGTTCTGCGCTCGCGCATCTCCAGTACCCTGGCCCTTGACTCTGGCCCATGCAGCAGCACGTTCCTGTCAAAACCTTTTCAAAAATCGTGATCATTCCCCAAGTCCCTCCCAAACAATCTCAAAGAATGTTGAAGGGAAAGAACCCTAGAGAAGTCTCAGCGACTCTATGGAGGCCTGCCAGATACTATTGCCCTAGACGGGGCATTTTGAGGAGTAAAGAGATGAAGCTCAAACAATATTAGGGGCTCACAGGCTGAATAAGACACTTACTTAAAAATTAACAAGTGATTGGTGCCTGGAGCAAGGTACTGTGGGAGGACACAGATGGGAGACTTCTTGGAAGAGGAAGCATTTGAGTTGACCTTGAAGGATGGAAGGAACTTCTTATATGGAGAAGGGCGTTGAGAAGTGTGTGATGGGGATGGGGATGGGTTTAGGAAGAAGGATGGGTATCCCCCAGTGGCTTTCTGGCAGAGCCTGCCGAACCCTGGTTGGCAGAAGGTGTTCAGGTAACTTACTGTAGAGGAGGGCTCCTGGAGTTTAGCTTAGAAGCTTTTAGGTCCTGGGAGGGCTGAGGCTCCGGTAAGATTTCACCAATCTGAATCCAGTAGTGGGTCAAAGGCATGGACTGGTTGAGCTCTGCAGGGGCTTAATTTTGGGAAATTGAAGTGCTATAATAAAAAAAGAAGAGAATAAAACCCCATCAGCACATATCCCTAGCCATCTGCCAGTGGAGAATTGAAATAAGGAGTGTATTTGCATGGGTACCCTTATACTTTTTGGAGGAGGGCTCTTAAATATCTGTGGGTGACTGTTGCTGAGACAGGACATCAAAGGGCTTCTTCAGGAATGGAGCTAAATTGTCCTTTAGTTCTTTGAGAGG